TTGTTACCATAATTTTTTTGTTTGACTGATTTTTCAACAACTATTCTAGAACCAAGTTTCACTTATTCCTGATGCCGAATTTGGAGTATTTATGATACATCTATTTTCACAATACTCACCACGTTACATGAAATGATTGCCTACATCCATTTTTATTGCACGTCATACAAGCGCCAGTACGCGCCTTGCTTTCTCGATGCTGGTGCTCACAGATATAACACATCTGAAAACAGTTGAAATCAAATTATTATTTTCAAGAAATAGCATCATTCACAAAAAATCATTTAAATGATTGAGCATACAATAAATGCAATGTAAGATTGTAATAAGTTCACAGTGGGAGTGAGTATGGTAAATGTAAGATTGCAATAAGTTCACAGTGGGAGTGAGTATGGTAAATGTAAGATTGTAATGAGTTCACAGTGGGAGTGAGTATAGTAAATGTAAGATTGTAATGAGTTCACAGTGGGAGTGAGTATGGTAAATGTAAGATTGTAATAAGTTCACAGTGGGAGTGAGTATGGTAAATGTAAGATTGTAATGAGTTCACAGTGGGAGTGAGTATAGTAAATGTAAGATTGTAATATGTTCACAGTGGGAGTGAGTATGGTAAATGTAAGATTGTAATATGTTCACAGTGGGAGTATGGTAAATGTAAGATTGTAATAAGTTCACAGTGGGAGTGAGTATGGTTAATGTAAGATTGTAATATGTTCACAGTGGGAGTGAGTATGGTGAATGTAAGATTGTAATATGTTCACAGTGGGAGTGAGTATGGTAAATGTAAGATTGCAATAAGTTCACAGTGGGAGTGAGTATGGTAAATGTAAGATTGTAACAAGTTCATAGTGGGAGCAAGTACGGTAAACACAAGATCTTACCTTATTATATCTATCATGTGGCACCATAGATAACAATATTGGTTCCATTGTCGTCACGTTACCAAATCGAACTTCTGGAATATACAAAGCACAGACAACATGTGCCCAGCCTAGAAAACAAGATAACATTACATAGTACAATTATATAGGCTACATATTTAATGTATGCGGTTGAGGAATAGCATGTACCCAGATATAGTAAATTCAGGAAACATTCATATGAAAAAAAAATTGAATTACAAATAATTTTGAGTAACCATCGTCACTTCAAAAGAAAAAAAAATTCTAAATAGGAGATGAGGGCGCTATATAGGTTTGGAACATTACAAGATCAGGCACACTATATTTGAGGTAGCAAAACAATATGGATGAGAGTACTAATCTAAAAAATTGTTGTCTTGTAACCCTGTTCATAAAGCTTTACATGCGGTAATGATTTGCTCATGTCAGCGTCACTTGAAATAGCATACTAAATCCATTAACAACTCATTGTTATGGTAATTTTGTGTCCTCATAAGTCATTAGAAGTGATGACCTACTTTGTCAGACGTCTATATCCTGGCCCTGACACTACGACATCCAGTATTATCGCTATCATATTCGTCCTAGCATTTAATATGTCATTACAAGGTTGCGGCAAGGACGTTGGGCAAAAGTGTTAGATCAGCGATTCCATCTGTTTCAAAAAGATTTGTGGAATAATGTAGTAATTCCACTAAAAGACTGTAAAATAGTTGGGATATGACACAGCCCATTCCATACCGCGTACCAGACATCTCGCACCCGAATCTTATTTATGGTATTCGTAGAGGATGGTTGAAACAAAATAACCAAATCCTCATTATTTTAGTGTAAAATGGTGCCAGTTTTGAAAAAATCTTTATAATATACAGAAATAAACAAAATTTTCCATGTACATAAAAAAAAAAGCTTGAGCCTATTTTCAAGTGTTCATACCCTGACATTGCGATACATAACACTGTATCAAAATCTGGAGATATCTGTGAAAGTAGTTTTTAACAAGTAGCTGCAGTACTTGCAACGGAATATCATCAATTTCTGGATTTTACAGCAAATATTTATATTGAAGCCTAGGTTAGTGGATTCTGATTGTTTTGACTGAAATGTAATTAATTATTTATTATAGCCAAGAAAAAAAAAATATTTAAGTACATTTTGTATTATTTTTTTTCTAGCATTTTACTATTAAACCCAAGCTCTTTTGCCCACTTCCTTTGGTTGCAAACCTTGATATATTAATACTTTCTTTAAGTATTGAACAAATTAAAACTGAAGACATGACATGATTTTTCCAAACTAAATGTATATTAATTATTCACTAGGTGCTCCAAAGATGTTAATATGTAAAATAACAACAAAACTATAGAATCGTTTTTATTGCCAACTTTGTGAACTTAAAACCCAATTAATATGCTCAAAACATCAAAATAGTGAAATTGAATGGCAGTGAAAATGAATAGTTTTACAGTACCAGTGTAGTTCAAGATATGAAGGGCAATCATTTTATGACTCTAATATAATTTACCTCCATTATCCGTCCTCTTTAATGCTCCTTCACGATGAGGACACAGCTCACACCTCTGTAAGATAACAAGTCTAAGAACTTAATATTTGTCAAATAGAGCATGAAGTGAATATTATAACATGTAGTACTGCTCATGTGGCATTGTACAACAAAACACCTGACTCCTATCAATAGAATAGTCTACTGTATTCTTTCTATTAATAGTACATTGCGCTTACATAAACAGAGGCATGAGTGTGGTCATAGCAAGTCATGTTTTAATGATTCACCATACAAATGCATTACAAACGTGTTATCTTTGAGGATGCATTACCAATAGAGCAAATAGGGTAATCATAATAATTTTCAATACAATGAGGTAAGTATTAATAGCAATATACCTATGCATTTTCATTGTAAAATTATCATATTTACTACCGTACTCATCCCGACT